GCGGCGGCACCTCTAGCTCCTCTGCAGGTCCCACCTGGACAGGCCTGATGCCCACCCGGTGCCTTCCCCTCTCCTGCCAGCGGCCACACCCCTCCCCGCTCTCTCCCTCCCGCTCCGTTTCCCACCCGTGAAGCCTGGGTCCCAGCGGCACCAACACAGCCCGGGGCTGGGAGGGCCCGAGGAATGGTTTTAAAGCCGCATAGTCCCACAGACTGACGTCTTCCGGCCCAATCACAGCCCAGCAACGGCGAGAGGATGGGGTTCACGCGGAGACTTCTCTCAGCTCATGCGGTCCAGTCACGCCCTCCCGAGCGGACCTGCAGCCCGAGACAGGCCCGGCCACAGCCTGTGCAGTGGGACCGGGTGAGCCGGGAGCTCCGCGTGGAGTCCGCCCTCTCGGCCGCGAAGGGCACAGCCGCGCCCACCTGTGTACTCTGTCCCCGAGGCCACCGAGGACGTGGTGGACGCGTTCTCCCAGTCCTTCTCTCCGTTCCGGCTGCCGCAGCGGCTCGGGGACAAGAAGCCCTCCACGGACTCCGACCTGGGAGCAAGGACACACGGCCACGGGTCAGACACGAGGGCGTGGCCAGAGGGACCCGTGAGAGCTCCCCCCCACCACCCAGCGACCGAGAGCACGCTGGGCCTGCACCCAGGGCCCGGCAGAGCACCCGTGGGCACCACCGAGGGAGTGAAGGGCTCCCTGTGGAGATGCCACTCACACAACAGGATGGCAACACTGAGGCTGGCGGCACCAGGCAGCTGCTCTGCGGGTTGGGAACAAGGTGACGGGGAGGGGGCAGCGGGAGCCCTGTGCCTTCGGCAGCTGCTCTGGGCCGACCCGGGGGGACGCTTTGTATCTGGCAGGAAACAGCTCGAGGCTGGTGCCTTTTGGTTCCGCCGCCCGTGGCTTTGCCACGACCCCGTCAGCGATCACTGCCGACGTCTGTCGCTTATAAAAGCGTCTTATCAATGTCACTAGTTCTAGGCTCTGTTGGCTGAAAGGTGAACAGACCCTCTGTACACACGTCTTCACCGCTCTATCCTAGTGAGCACAGCCTGTGAGCGCTGGCGGCCAGGACGACTTCATCCTGAGACGGAGCCCTCCCTCAGACGTTCGGACGGACGGACAGACAGACGGGTGGATTACCTGGGTGTCCTCTTGCCGGACTGCACGCTCTCGCTGTCGCCTGTGGTCAGTGACGCCAGGGAGAGGCTGGAGACTGAAAGACACAATGAAGCTGTGACCTGAGTGAGAGCAGCCGCCCTCACAGCAGCAGGAGGCGGCCGCTCGCTCGCCCTCATGACCTGTGGGAAGGGCGGCCGCGCTCTCCCCGTTCTACTCCCTCTCCACACAGCGCTGCCCGCGGCCAGGCCCTGCTCCCTGGAAAGGAGGAGCCTGTTCTCCAGCAAAGCCCGGGCTCGCTGCTGCTGGAGTCATTCAGGAGGAACGTGCAACGTGAGGCATGAGGTGCTGCTCACGGGAGAAAAGAAAATGAACTAGCAGAATGAACGGCACCCAGGACTCCCTCGTTCCCGGTGAAAACTGACTGATTGTAGCCAAGACGGGCATCACGTGTCAGGGCCTGGAAGAGCCCGTCCTGCTATTTTCCCTGTTTTGGAGTCACTGGGAATTCCCTAAGACGTTCAATGGTTTTCAGTTGCAACAAAACAAACATCGTTTTAAAAAGTGAGCCTGCGTGTTGCATTTGTAAAAAGACACGTCCTCCCAACTCGAAAAGCATGAGCTGGGGTTGCAACCCCGCCTGTCAGAGGAGCCGGGACTCGGCCCCACACTCGCCCTGCACGACGTGGGCCTGACACCCCAGGCCAGGGCGGGGTCCCTGGACTCACAGGAGGAAAGTGGGCGAGTGATGCGGGGGTCACACCGGGCAGAGCCAACAGGTCAGCATCACACATGTACACGGGACAAACATGTACATGGGATACACGGGACCACACAGATGCACACAGGACACACACATGACAAACACACATGCACACAGCAGCCACGTGAGCCACCTAAGCCGTCCTGCTCGCTCCGGCTCCCAGGCAGGAGGTGGGAGAACTCGGACGGGTCTGGTCTAGCAGAGCACCGTGCAGACACGTGACCATGACAACAGGCTGGCGTGTCATGGACAGACCTCGCCACACCCAGTTACCTGGAGGGCCCTGGGTGGGGGTCTTGGGGGGCTCCACGTGGTCTCGGTGCATGGACTTGGGGCGCTGCTTCTTCTGCTTGGCGGCGGGCGGCCGCGGCTTGATCAGCGTGTCCATGTCCTCCATGAGCTTCAGCTGCTTGCGCCTCAGGTACTCCTGGCGGATGAACTCCCTGCGCGCCCGCTCGTCCTCCTTCCTCTGACGCTCCTCCTCCGTCTTCCGCCTGAGAACCAAGCGGTCAGCTCGCACTCGGCGCCAAGAAAACAGACGTGGGAGGGATGGGGGAGGGGGAACTGCTCTGTTAGCAACGTGGGGGAAATGGTCCTTTAAGATACGCTTGTGGCCCAAGCCGGTTTGGCTCAGTGGATAGAGTGTCGGCCTGCGGATTGAAGGGTCCCGGGTTCGATTCCGGTCAAGGGCATGTACCTGGGTTGTGGGCACATCCCCAGTGGTGGGTGTGCAGGAGGCAGCTGATCGATGTTTCTCTCTCATCGATGTTTCTAGCTCTCTATCTCTCTCCCTTCCTCTCTGGGGGAAATCAATATATTAAAAAAAAAAAAAGATACGCTTGTGGTAAAATATATATATGCTCCAGATAATTTAGGTCATTAAAATCTACACAAACATGCCATTTAAAAAAGTGTGTGTATGTGTGTGTATGTAAAAACCAAGTCAAGTTATTGTTTTTTAGAGAGAGAGGAAGGGAGAAAGTGAGTGAAACATTGATTTGTGGTTCCACTCATCCATGCATTCATTGGCTGAGTCGTGTGTGTGCCCTGACCAGGGGTTGAACCCCAACCACGGTGCAGCAGGACGATGCTCTAACCACTGACCCACCCGTCCAGGGCCAGTGAAGTTGTTTAAAATTAATGTGGTTTCTGGAGAACTTCACTTTGATGCCTCCAACTTAGGGTGAAAATACACAAACAAGTAATCCTTTGGGAAAACAAATCAGCGTCTAAAAATCACCAAAATCAGCATTAATTCAGTTGTCCATACACTTAAGTGTCTAACATCTACTAGTGAAACTCGGTGAGAAGCCAGCCCTCACCTGTCCCCTCCTCACCTGTCCCCTCACCTGTCCCCCCTCACCGGCCCCCTCTAGCAGCCACCCATCCCTGGCTCTAGCAGTGTCACTGAGGGGGTGGACTCTCCAGGCAGCCTTGTGAGGCCAGCCCAGCCCAGCCCTTGTGGTGCAAGCTCACTCAGCATCTCAGGGCTCAGCACAGGGAAGGAGCGGAGGGGCTTGGCGTTGAGGACCCACGTTCTGGTCCCTGCCCTGTCACTTACCAGCCGTGGGACCGTGGGCAAGAGATTTCTTATGTGCCAGTTTTGTTCCTTGTGATACATTTTAGACTATCAACAAAAATAGAGTTTTCAGTATACCAGAACACCGACATCTCCAGCATCCGGCCTGGGACAGAACAGGTAGTGGATGCAGTTAAAAGCTCCACTCCTCTGCACACCCCTCCCA